GGGATAGAGTATTAAAGGGGAGAAGCGTTGACATTTATTTGCATTTTATGTCTTGGGGTATATATATATACATTTTGATACTGCGTAAAAATTTTGAGGGTTTACAGTAAGGGGGAGAATTTGCATTGTATTGCATTCCAATTCATGATGCATATTTGTTTGAATTTTGATGTTTTATGATGTTAATGTTTCAGTTGGTGTTTTGATTGACAGTAATGTCACATCACAAACTAGCATGCTTATTTATGATTATGAATTTCAATTTTCACATTTTCTGCATCACGTGCTTTTACACTAGGTATTTGAGTTTTTGATTTCAGGAAATATGTATAACAAGTAATGCAAAAGACAAAGCTCTAGTAGTTTAGATTGTTTAGATTTGCTTATTTTACTACATTGACTTCAATTGTATAGTTTTCTTACAGAATGCTAAATGATGAGTTTGTTAGGTTTTATGCTGTAATTGGTGATTCTGTGAACAAAATGGACTAAATTAAATATGTGTAAAAGTCAAGGAATTAGGAGCAATATTGTATAGTTGGATAAGGTAACTTAGGCTTATAGGTCGAGTTTGGAACAAGGAAGAAGAAACGCCACATTTTCGCTTGCCTTTCGCCAAGACACGACTTTAGTGAAAAGATCAAATGGACTTTGTTAGCTTGTCATCTGAATTTCACTCGAGCGAAACATTGTCACTCACTTCTCGCTGGACTGTCGGTCGAATGACGGTATTATTCGGCAAACCTAATTTGCGATTTTGAAAAGTTTTATACGGCATAAATATTAAAACATCCCTAACTATAAATATCTAAGCCTTGCACGATTTTCTATGTGGACTTAGGGGTAGGCATGGTCCAGTTTGGTTCGATTTTAACGAGAATGGAATCAGACCCAAATTTTCGGGTATTTAGTAAGTTGAACTGTCGGCTCCAAATTTTATTATGAAACCGTTTGGGGTTCAGTTCAGTTTCATTCTACTCTCAGGTTATGTACTATAATTATTTTTTAATATTTACAAAATTATATTAATTCAACTAATGACATGTTCAGTCTTAGTTTTTACAAAATAAAGTAGTCCAATTTTATATGTCTTTTATGTCTCTCTTTGTTGAATTCTTCATAGATTTGATTGTTAAAATTATAGGAAAATGACGATAGCGAGCTTACAAAAATTAAAAGAGGAGCTGTCGAGCCTCAATTTGATTTCTCTAGAACGATAGAAATGACACTATGGTAGAATAACAGATTTGGATAAAATTTAAGTCAATTTGATTAAGTTGGGCTTGAACTGAAAACTAGAAATAGGAAAATCATATTTTTGTGTTTAAGCTAAATTAACTAGTTAACAATTTTATTTAGAAAAAAATAATTTGAGTTATTTAAAATAAATAAATTAAACAAAATTAGGAAGATTGGATTCTTCAGTTTTTGATCTAGAATCGAAAATTGAACCGAACCCATCGATTCTTGATTTAAATACCCATTCGAGTATTTAACTTAAGAAGAACCACTTGATTCGAGTCTAGTTCGAAAGTTTTGCCCAGCCCTATGTGTGGTTGTTCATCATGCTTCTACTTCATATCGTATTCATAACATCCTTTGATGAACTAAGAACATATTCAACCCAGGATTCAAATCATTCATTCTTGAAATCCCACAAAAATAAAATCAAGATTTCAGAATCCAAATCACTCACTTCCTTTGTGTAACAAGGAATGTACTTTCTCAATTGGAAGTTCAAAGATTATTGAAGATTGAGGAAGGTCAGATTACAAATATAGGAATAAGAACAAGAATAGGTGATTATTGGGTATCCATTTGGAAAAAGCAATTGTACAAGATTAGGAAGTTGGGGGAGACAGCAATATCTTGGGGATTACAGGAAGTAGATCGGGAAGTCTATTAGAGTTGGCTAGACAGCATCTAACTCTAACAATCATTGTCTAGAATGGAGGCAATTGACTTGGTCCCGAAGTTTTTACCCAGTTGGGGTTTCTCCGTCATCATATTAGTGTTATTGATTGTCTCCATTTTACAAACTGCAGTATTCAAATATGCAGAATTGGACTTGTAAGCTTAATCATCTAGAAACTATTAAAAAGTGACTTATTGCTTTTAATAGAATAATTTCACACGTGAGGTTAAACTAAATTGGCTAAGTAAAAACTTTCAATCCTCATCGTTTCGAGGTGAGCTCACAAGCCCCGACCATTATGTTTCCAAGGCTAGCTTTAAGTTATTATACATCTAAGATGAAATTGGCAAATTACATTTCAGAGACAATTTGTAAGTTACATTCTTGCCTACTTAAAAACTTATACAATCCGGTCGACACATAATATACAAACTCAAACTTGGAGATTATTAATGTACCAATAAATTATGTGATTAAAAATGAGTCCCAAATTACATCAAATAATGTGATTAAAATTGGTTCCCAAATTAGGTGATGATACATCGATAATATCAATTGAATTGGACCGAATAAAACTTTATAACCTTTTCTCGAGCTCGGGCTTGGGGCTCGATTCAATAGCCTATCTTAGCCTACATACCTCATATCCTCCTATACATTTGTGCAAGTCATTGCCTCGTAGGATAAGCATTCTAAAACCTAGCTACATCCCTTCCTCAAATCTACCATCACCTTTACCTCCACTACACCACCTCTACCACCAACCAAATCATAGTTGCATCACCACCACCACTACTACCATCTTATTTCACCACCACTAGCACCTACACAAACAATCCAACACATAGCCCAAACATAGTTGCAAGAAAATTTTGAAAATGAACCTCAACCAACGAAATCGCTTCTCTCAATTGTAAAGAAGCTGTAACTAGGCATGGTGGAGTTCACTTTGTCTTATTCACTGAGTTAATTGCTCACAGGAAAAGCTTCAAGCAGAATATCTTGCGAAATCTATTTTCCCAAATCAAGTGCCGAAATCGTTTAAGGTTCCGATGGGCTTCAATGGCAAGATAACAGTTGATGGTGGTGCAAAACTAATCTAACGACGGTGTGTTGGCACTAGAAAGTGGATAGTGGGTGTTTATAGGCGATTGTGGAAATGGTAGTGATCAACGACGATAAGTGACGACGGGTGAAGGGTGAAAATGAAGGTGAAGTTGAAGTGAGATTATGTGAATTAGGAAAAATGTATAAAATGATAGGTGGTGTAGTCAGTGTTATAAAAGGTGCGTGTAGTGGGTGTCAAGGCATTATCTAGGCACGAAGCACGGCGAAAACACCAAGCCAAGTGGCTTGGCGCCGTATTTAGCGGTCAACGGCAATTGTTGGTCACTAATGCGTTCCTAAGCGAGCATTATTATCTTTTTTTTTTAAATTTACAATTCGTTTAAGTTAAACTTAATGACTGATTTTTTCACTTCATCTGCCCTAGATTCAAAGCAGCTACTTGAAGCATTGAACAAAGAAAAAATTCCAAAAATTTCTATCTATTTGCTATTTAGTATTTACATTTGAAACTTATCCATTTGTTGGAACTTTGAAAAAATGTATAAATTTCCTATTTATCCATTTTAGATGTTTGATAGGTATTCTTTTTAATTATTAAATATTTTTTTGATTAATTAAAAATTAAAATAGTATTAAAATAAGCAAATTTCTTTTTTATTTTATTTTTTTACGCTTATGCCTCGCTAAAACTCGTCTAGCCTATACCTTGACCTCCACACGTCACCACACATTACGCTTTTTAAAACATTGAGTTTAGTGTGGGGTAGGGTGGGATGTAATATATACCCGATTTTTGAAAGATTAAAATTAAATTCTGATTTTTGAACTGGCATGTTAAATTGCAGGGGTAATTGTAATTTCCTCTAAAATTCTTATAATTTATTGTTTGCTAACTTATTTTAACTTATTGCACCGAGGTGATAGGCTTGCATAAAATTTTACTTTCAATGTATGGATTATTTTATGGAACATTTGAAGTTGACGTCCTCATCATTTTCAAAAAGTGCAACGAGGGCACAATTCTTACCTTTTTCCAAATGAATTTTCTTTTTCTCTGTATTTTCTGAATTATTTTTTAATAGTGAATGTTTATTCTTTTTTTTATTATTGCTGTTAAATTATTCTAAATGAAATTCAAAAATTGCTCATTTTCTTTGTGAAATTAGACGTGTTAGGTTCATGCTATGAACATATTCTATCTTAAGGTACTTGTGCTATATAATCTATGACAAAAGTAAAATATTTCGGGATTCTTATGCACTGTTGAAAGATTTGGTATCCTATCTGCAATTCTCCCTTATTGTATATATTTTTAGGCCCTACTTGTGCCACATTTTTGCCCCAAAAAAAAAATTTTGACCGTTTGAAGATACAAGGTAGGCCCCCATACAGTAAAGTAGCAGTTGGTTCAGAGGTGCAAAACTACTGCAAATTTACAAGTCTGCCCTTCCCCATGTGCAAGTTCAGGCAAGGGGAGTAAATGTTGGCGTTTTCTTCCCATATAAGTCAAAGGCTGCCAACCTACCCAATTATTAAAAGAAGACAAATAAACAAGTCCCAACCACATTTTGCAACTTCAAATAATATCACATAAAGTTGGTAAACCGAAGAAAAACTCCAATTATACCCATGAACCCGACTGGTGTGCGCCCTCTTAATCCGATATCGAACCAATTGATCATGCAAAGTTGGAAAAAAAACACGCGATATTTTTCGTTCTTCCGTACCCCACCGTACTAAGACAAAAAAAAAAATTGAAACCACGACAACGACACCTAAACCTGGCAATTCTAATACTCTGGAAGACATAAAAAGGTTGAAATGGGCACCACACCATCGGTCTCCCAAGTCCCGGTATACGATGCAAATTGCATGTGCGATCCTCACGACTGTTGTGCCATGTAATTACGGAGTCTATTCCACTCACTTCGTTGCATTTTTGGCACATTTATTTTGGCCTAAACTTCGTCCTTAGCATTAGGTAGCTTCACCTCAATTACGTCGTCATCGTTTCCACTCAAGCAAATGCTTCGTCCAAAACTTTAGTACAACGTACAAAATCTTGGATACCCATTGTGGCTAGGACAACTACAACTTGTGTTTCAAACGAGTAACTAGGCATACGATCAAGGATTTTCCATCTTTGCTTCAACACACCAAATGCACATTCAATGACATTTCTGCATGAAGAGTGTCTGAAGTTGAACCTCTCACGAGCATTTCGAAACCTACGGCACTGACATGTTCATTCATCGTGGAACTGTTAAAAGTGGCACACTATATCTGAACTTTTATACGGGGCCATATACCTCGGTTGATGGGCAAAACTGAAGTCCATCAAATAATACTTTCCTGGTGCCAAATGCGAAAAATCTATTTTAGGACTGAATATGGCACGTGCTAAGATACGTCTGTCATGCGTATTCCCGGTGTACCCAACAAGCACGAACATGAAACATAAATTGAAGTCATATACGATCAACACATTTTGAGTCAGTACGCCTTTCCGACCAATGAAGTTCACACGTTCATGACGTGGTAACACAACTCTCACATGTGTTCCGTCTATAGCCCTAATACAATTCTGAAATAGTGGATGCTTGTTCGGATTCGACTTGGGCGGCTCGACACCATCATTGTAGTTCCAAGCCGGTCGTATAGTATGTTTCGAAAGTGCAACGACGACATATAGCACTTCTTCGAATAATTGGCAAATGGTTTACAGAGAATGATTGAAGATTGTTGTCACCTGTCGGTATCCGTTTCCATGTGCAAGTATGCACAGAAACATGCCCACTTTCTCATAGAGATCCTGCTGGCTACTTGTTAAGCCATACTCGTCTCGTAGGACATGTGCAAAGTGTCGCAACATCGACGGGTACATTCGAAACTCCTGATGGCAGATCAGATCATTCCCGCTCATGGCCTCCATCATGAACATGTGACCATTTCTGGCGAACGTGAATGGCCTAACACGATTGCGCTATGTGCGATAATATGTCTTGGCAATCGAAGAAAATGTGAGACAAGCTGTCACGTCAGCAACCACATGTTCGAACGACTCATCCTCCCCTAGCTCTTCCTCCAGATCGAAGGTCGAATGTAGCACGTAGTCAAAGTTCAGATCATCCATTTATATGGAATGGTAAAAGCTAATTCATTGCATCTTTCTACCAAGTTAGCCGAATGATTGTGCAAACGATAACAAAGAAAATTGAAAAGGCTGCATGCCTACAAAGTAAAAAGCAATGTAGCCATAGCAGGGGCTACAAGATTCCTGCAAGTTATGTACAATTCTCTGAATTATCTTATTCAACATGAGTGAAGCATGCAATAGTAAGCAATTTGTGACAAAATGTACAAGAATAATATCAGTGTATACATATAAGTGTTATAATCCTCCACAAGGGATGGGAGTTGGACAGGAAAAAGCAAATGTGATGGGGCCACAACTAAAATGCGACATAGGCACACATAACATAATCAAAGTCCTAATGGAGCGATTTACCTCGAACTTTTCATCTGCATCCTTCATGAAAGCAAGCATGTCTCGATATCGCTTCTACATGCAAAGTGTGTAGGCGTAGAAGTATAGTGGGGGTACGGACACTATAGCCGACCAGTCGCGAGCAACTCCTTGATAAAACTGGTCGCGTCATTCTCTATCGGGTTTATGATGCTGTTGAGCTTCACAGCCACTTCCTCTACTGTACTGGTAGTACAGTCCACGAAAAATGATAGTTCACAAGCAAAAATTTTCTTTTGCTTCCCCTTGCGCCCCTTAGTAGACGACTGTCGTTTCTTCCCACTTCGGGCATTTGAAGTGTTCATGCTTGTTGTACCTGTTCAACCACCTCCATCATCGCTAGAACTGCTTCCCTCTCCGTCAATGAGAATCGCCTCCAAGTGTTCACCCACTGCACTGTCCTCGAGCATGGCGAGTCCTGTTCTGCACATCAAGCTCGAGGTCGTCGCATATTTGTTACAATCATAATTGTCACCAAAATAGTTGACGATACCGGATGTAAATATCGCAGACATTTTTGTCCTTGAAGTCCTTGTAGTCTTTGTTCTCTTGCAACAAAAAGTGCGGAGAAAGTCATAGGAGAGATTCAAATAAACCTTCGACATGTGTCTGATGAAAACATAACTAGAAAATTGATTTAAATCATGAATTCATTCTGCAATTATTTCAGTCAACAAGAAGTGGTTAACACACCGAAAAAATAATCAACTGGAACCAACTGTAATAACAAGAATAAGTATGCTATGGCACTCAACAAATCACTGAAGCACAACATCGATTGAAGATAAATACAATATGTCATGCAACAATTATACATGAGAACAATTTTTTTGTAAGTTCATTAACTGCTTTTCTTCACGAGATGTACAAGTAAAGACACCGAAAAAAACATCAACTGTAACCAACTAGAATAACAAGTACACTATGGCACTCAACAAATCACCGAAGCATAACACCGATTGAAAATAAATACAATATGTCACACCACAAATATACGTGAGAACAAGCATGTTTAAGTTTGTAAACTGATTTTCATCCCGAGATGTACTAATATTTAGGTTATAGCATTAAGGGGTCCGGTGTATTGGAGCAATCCAGTCAACATTTTCATTTAGGGAGGGTTTCGAGGTAAAGGCAGTGCTGAAATTCATAAACTTCAGACAATGTTTCAATCCAAAAATTGCAGAGATGAAAAATGAAATGAAATGAAAGAAATCGTAGCCGTACCAGGAGTTTTCGCGTCCACCATTCCTCAGAAGCGACAACTCGGCCCGTTGACGGATCATATTCAATCCCGTTGCAGGAAAGGAGGTCACGGAGGCGTGTGTAATCACAACGCATTGCATCCCAATGGTTGCGAAGTTGTTGCTCTGTCCAATTGTGCTCGGACGACAAATTGAATAACACAACCACGAGCTCCCACCCTTGCTTCGTGAAGCACCGGCCGTGCCTGTGGCCTTCTGTAATTGCAGTTTCACAGGCTGCTATGAAAGTAATATGCTCAGTGGGCTTTCACCGAGCATTTATTCTTGATCTGGCCTCATTACTGGGGTCCGGTGCAGTGGACGACACAAGATGTGACCGTAGCCCATCTGTGGGAAGCGAAATGCAAGGGATTAGAGACGAATAGAGAGGTGAAAATCGAACCATATGGGGTGATTATAAGTTGCCTTACCTGGCTCAAAGGTGGATCCATGGGTTTTGCTCGTAGGTAACAAACGCCGAAAGCAAGGATGTCGGTCTCCGAACACAGCAAGCCAATCGAGCAGAATGGAAAATGGAACAAATCTTGATCAAGGTTGCAGCCCAATAGAAATAAAACAAGTGTTGCGCTAGGCTTTCTTGCGTTGTGGTCGGTCGACGGTCGCGTCCTCGTGCGATTCGCAGAAATGGGAAACATTTTCAGAATTTATACCGCTGTCGAGGATTGCAGTGGAAATGGGTCCTTAGTTTTCTCTTCGAACTCGTACTACTGTCCACTGGGAAAGAAAGCAAAGGGCAAATGAGGAAAGTCACAACTCTTGCTACAGTATTGGTCAGTATTTGGTGTCATAAGGCAAGTGGCTCAAATGGTCGAAATTTTAATAAAAATGGGGAGAAAATAGGGGCTTTTAAAATACCTAAAATAATATAAAAAATAAGAATTCCATTTATTACAATTACAATCGTAATCTTGTTTCTTGACCTAACAACCTTGCCATACATCATACTTTTAGAATCTAACAAAGGCATAGCCGCAAAACTATGTGATTTTTTTTTATTGGCGTGTTGTGGTAGCAATTTCACTCTTATCATCCTTTTCATTAAAAAAAGGAATAAATCAATATTGTGTTTGAATTTACTATTTGGGAAATATGTTTGCTTTCGTTAAACAAAGAAACTTGATATCAACTTATAATATTGAAAAGCATTTAAATCGAAAGAAGCTTTTAAATCTCAAAAACTAACTTTGACTTCTTAAAAGTCACACCGAATAGGTGTATAGTTCTGAACATGTTGCACTAAAAAATAAGTTTTTGTAGACATTATCCATCATAAATTATGTGACAACCTTTTTTAATAGTCCATGTTAGAGTATCTTCAAAAGACTTTTTTATTTTTAAGATCATTCTACAATTTAAAAAGCATCTATAAATTTAGAAAGTAAAAAATTTTTAAGTACTCCAACAAGTGCATCTATAAATTTAGAGAGTAAAAATTTTTAAATACTTCAACAAATTATTTATATATAATACTTAATTTTTGTTACTCCCAAAAAATATTTATCATTTTTTATCTTTTATTTTCACTAGCTTCCCTTGAAATTATTATATTATTTTTTCTATATTAAAATTTTACTTTGAATATATTAATTTATAGAGAGTAGGTTTGGTCAAGCCCAATCTTCAAATTAAAATGTTAATATTTTAAGGGGAATAATAAATAAGTTAGGCTTTACTATACCATATTTCATTTTTAAGAAATTAAGTTTAAAAATTCAAAACTCGGGTGATAATTAATAGATATTATATATAAAATAAATTATAATAAATATATATTTTAAAATAACACTTTTAATTATCGTTCCAAATTTGGCTCTCCATAACAACATACTATGAAGATCGAGCAAAATAGAAAACCACAAAGACCTCTCCAGGTCAAATAATTTCCCACTACCATCATTGAAATCTAATTATTTGAGAATAATCAGATTATTGATGTTGCAATTTGGAAGTTATCAGAAGATTGAACAAAGATAGAATTTATAGATAATTTGTCGAAGTAAATAACTTTGATTTTCACTGTTGAAATTTGGTTAATTGATACCTGCTGGATGATAGAAACAAATTGGAAGTTGATATTATATATTAGACGATCAAACAAAGAGAGAACTCGTCGAAACGAATAACTTCGATTCTCACCATCGAAATACGGTTAATTGAAACTTGTTGAATAATTTATGTCACGTATTGGAAGTTTTCAACACTATGTATCAGAATTTTTGAATGCTACGATCACAAACTGAGGCTAATTCAATGGAATGTGTACAATTTATTTGAATTTGTGATCTATGAACATTGATTTGTGATATATGCAATATGACTTGTGTCATGTGAACTTGAATCAATAACCTATTATCAATGTACAAAGACATATAACATATAATGTGTGATCAATTAATTTTGATCTGTAACTTGTTGATTGACATTGATTTGTGACTGATGTGTGGCCTATGGCGTATAAACATGATCTTATGATCAGTTCCGTTTGATCTATGACCAGTGTACAATGACTTATGACCTAGTACATGTGACCTATCACTACCACTGACACAACCAGCAGATATCAACACAACATTTAATGTACACTCTAAGAACATATGACTACCACCAAAACCATCTAAAAACCATCCAAAACATTGACTATGTAGTAGATCTGAAAAACCCCTTAAAAAACCCCAAAATTGCGACGATCCGTGTGACGCTCAAATTGCTAACGCTGCGAGTGCTTATCTATGAACCCTTTCATTAATTATATCCCCTAATGCTGAAGCATTTCTTATCTTTATTTTTCATTGTCATTAGCCAAACACTTTAATTAATCCACTCATCAATCTTCTATACACTGACCCCATTTAACCTCTCCATTCTCCTCTTCCCCAAATTCATTGAGCTTAGAAAATCACAAATTTTTGCTCACCCACCTAATTTCTTGTAGTGAGTTTAATTTATTCAATGCCCTCTTGATTAAAAATATGTCAAGTGATAGTATTTGAAAATGGAGAGCAATAGTAGAGAGAATTGAAAGAATAGAAAGAAAATGAAGTATAAAATGAAAATGTGTTTGAGTGAGGGTGGAGTGATTAATTTATTTTATAATATATTTTGTTAAGCCTTCCCAAACATGGCTCCATGTCACTGAGGCCCTCTTGTCCACTTGGACGACCACCGAGGCTCCTTGGTCAATTAGCCGACCCACTCAAGCATTGAAGCCTTCCACACAAATGACGAGTTCTTGGAGATTAGTCTGAAGCCCATTCATATCTCTTCTGATGAAAGCTCACTACAGTAAGTGACAACTCACATGAAGAAGATCATGAACTTTTGTATGAAATCTTTTTGGAATGATTTATGGGATATTTGTAATGAGTATAAATGTCAAATCTTGTCAATAAAGTGACGATTCTGTGTAAGCATTAAATGCACCACAGGCTAGATTGATGACTAGGATTAAATGTTTCAACTAAGGAGATGATGCCACGTGTATTTTTATTAGAGGGCCATCATTTCATTTATAATACTATAAATACCCCCCTCATGCAACATTTGAAGGCTAATGTAACACTAGATACTTAAATTCACCCTTTGTTTTCTCTCTTACCGATTTTGCACTTATTTAGCAACAAATTAATATTATTTTACTTTGATCGAGTTATTTGCGATTGGTTATCATTATACAATCCTTTCATAAATTTATCGTCCAAACCCATATCTGTCATACGTCGTTGAACTTCTCCCACATCCACATTTTTGAAGTATTCACAACTAGTAACCTGTCCCTACGTGTTGGAACTGGCTCACGTGTCAGCAAGCGGGCTCGGCATCTATAGTCCACAAAATCGAGGTCAACATTATTAATTAAAATTAAAAAATTGAGTTATCATCTATTTTTGTTCAAGAAACTTTCAAATTTTATTTTTGAATACCGAAATAACAGGTCCTGGTGCAATTTCCACTATTTTGAGAGCCAATAAATTAGAAGAGCTTTTATCGGCCCATATTTATCTGGTAACCCTCGGCCCAATCCCACAGAAAAACCCTAAAGCTGCGCATCTATATAAACGAAGAACCCTAACCAGTCTAACATTTTCCTTCTGAAAATACAGTGCCGCCGATAAAATGCAGATCTTCGTGAAAACTCTTACCGGAAAAACCATAACGCTCGAGGTCGAGTCGAGCGACACTATTGACAATGTCAAGGCCAAGATTCAGGACAAAGAAGGTGTTTTTTTTTTAATAAACATTTTTCGTTCCTTTTTTAATTATTTTGATTTGAAGTTATGAAATGTTTGGTTTTATTATGATTTTATTAGGAATTCCACCGGATCAGCAACGATTGATTTTTGCCGGAAAGCAGCTGGAAGATGGACGCACCCTCGCTGATTACAATATTCAGAAAGGTGAAATTTAACGGCTTCTGTTGAACCTTAAGCATTGACTTCTGTTCATCTCTGGATTAGGATTGGTATTTATGGTTGATATTTTGTCTCTGTTAGAGTCGACTCTGCATTTGGTTCTTAGGCTACGTGGTGGCATTATTGAGCCGTCTTTGATGGCACTAGCTAGGAAATATAACCAGGACAAGATGATCTGCCGCAAGTAAGCTCTTCAATTATAATGGCTTATTTGATTTTATGTTCATTTCAATGAAAATTTCTATTAGCTTAGACTGTTTCTATTCATTTTTTTGTTTTTGTTTTTTTTTTTTTGACAATCGCACAATAGAATGGTGTTGAAAGAACTGAAAGATTTATGCACGATGTTCTTTTTAACGACTGATTGCGGAAAGTAAACTCAGTACCGTGGGATCCATCATTTTTACTGTCTTTCATTCTTGTGTATTTAAAATATATTATGTCATGAGGAATTAAGTATGAATCTATGTAACAGAAAAATAGCGTCAACATGACAGTATTATGAAGTCTTGACTTGTTTGATAGAGAATTCTGATATCCTCCTCACGTGTTTGTACGGATGTGATAAAAATAGATTACTTAATTATGAGAAAAGATCTACTAAGCACGTTTAAACTTATGCTAATCACCAGTGACATGACTGGTGAATAAATTTATGATAGGTCTCAGGAATTATATGATACACAAAATAATTGATTCTAATGTCAGCTGCGCTCAGCATAAGTGATCATTTATCTTCTAGTTCTATGAAACATAGTAGAGGGTAAACTTACCTTATATGGGGCAGTGATGCAAAGCAGTAGTGGCTTATATACGTATCTCTAATATATTAAAATTTTTCTTGAAATCAATAACCATAAGGGAAGTATTGTTTATTGTGTTAATTGAATGTGTGTGCATGAAGATGTATGTCCGAAACTTGAAATCAAAATAGAACTGGAACTCGTCTGTTTGACGGTTTTTGTTATTCTATCCACCCTAGGAAATGCAAGGCGCTCACTTGAATATATGTTTGGCTTTTATTGAGTGCTGGTAGCTGATCAGGTGGATCATATCATAAACTTGTGTAGTTGTCGTTAGGGCTGGACAGAACTCCCGAACCGAACCGACCGAACCGAACCGAACCGAACAGAACCGAACCCGACGGTTCTTCTCAAGTTAAATACCCGAACGGGTATTTGAATCAGGAACCGACGGGTATGGTTCGGTTCTCGGTTCTAGGCCAAGACCCGAAGAACCGAATAAGAACCGAATCTTCGTAATTTTTTTAATTAATTTATTTTAAATAAGTAAATTATTTTATTTTTTCTAAATAAATTTGTTAACTAGTTAATTTAGTTCAAACCACAAAATATGATTTTCCTATTTCTAATATTCAGTTCAAAATCGACTTAATCAAATTGACCTCAATTTTATCTAAATCTGTTGTTCTACTATAGTGTCGTTTCTATCGGAGAAAATCGAATTAAAACTCTACAAAATCTTTCTTAATTATTTTGAGCTCGTTATCTTTCTCTTTCTGTGATTTTAATAATCAAATATATGAAAAATTCAGCAAAGAGAGACGTGAAACACATAAGATTGAACTACGTTATTTTGTAAGAGCTAATATTAAATATATCATTAATTAAATTAACGTAACTTTGTATATATTAAAAAATTTAATTATAATACGGAACCGAACCGAACCGAACCGGACCGAACCGAACCGAACCGAACCGAATGGAACCGAACCCGAACGGTTCCGTAATTAAATTTGGACCCGACGGTTCCACTTACTAAATATCCGAAAATTTCGGGTCGAGAACCGAACCGAACCGGACCATGTCCAGCCCTAGTTGTCGTAGCCCCTCAAGAATAGGGATTATATACCTGGGCTAACCTTACAACTCTTGTGTTTCCGAACATTAAAGGTATTTTAGACAGCCGTATAGTAGAGCCTCATGTTTGGCACTGTATTAGACCTTTTAGGAATAAAATTTATTTAAGTCGGTGTTTGGTCTAGATAGTACCTAAAGTAATTATTCTGAGTAATTTATGTCATCTCAACTTAACTGGAAACGATTTTTCTAAGGGGAAGGGTTATGGGTGGGCTATACATGTTCACGTGGTTTGTTTGTGCATGTGAAGTTTGTTAAATTGTCTATGGTACACTAACAATATTCCTTATTATCTTGATACTATGATATATCCCCCCAAACCCCCCCTTGTTTGTGGCATTTCTGAGAGCCACATTTATGTAAACACAGCATTCCCCAGTCTCTTAATACAGTAGTGTACGAAATGTGCCCCCCTCTATTTACCTTGATACTAACCACCCTAATATAATTCTCTTAATACAGTACGGTGTATCAACAGCTCCATTAAAATCAGATTTTGCAAATTAATTACTACCGGCGGGATACTTTTATTTTTAACCATTTGCATGAAGATTCTAACTATTTAATTTGGCATTCAAGTTTCAAGTTCTAGGGCTTTTGAAGCTTCTATAGAACACTGATTCCTGTGATTACTCATGTTCCAGATGTTATGCTCGTCTACACCCTCGTGCCGTTAACTGCAGGAAGAAGAAATGTGGACATAGCAATCAGGTATTTACCGATACATAGATGTCAATGTTATTGCTTCTTAACCTCGTGCATTGCTGTCAACAAAAGTTCATTTTCTTTTCTTTGTTCTCATGTGCAGTTGAGGCCAAAGAAGAAGATCAAGTAAACATGTCACCGATTTAACCTGTTGCAGCTTTTCTGCCTTGACCGATTTAAACAATTTAGGATTTGCATTTGCTTGTAGTGGAAGATATAAACCGCTTATCTATTTGTTTTGTTTGGAATGCTCAGAAATCAAAGACATTATGCAGAAATGATGATTAAGGTGTCTAATGCAATAGATTTCCCTACCCACAACGCCAATGAACTTCGTTTTCTTCTTTTCTTTTCGTGGATTCGTTGTGGGTGATCCTAGTGTATTTGGAATTATATGCCAACATTCAAAGAAAATGAGCAGAGGTAAATTCTATTAAGAGGGAAATACGTAAATATCTGATTTTGACACATCATTTGGGGAAAAGGTAAAAAATTGAGAGGTTTGCATCCGTGGTTATTGGAAGAACTCAAAACTCCTTTTTCTTTTTTCTCAATTTAAAGATTCATTTGTTTCAATCATTCAACACGATCTCAAATAGACTGTTCATTTGTTGACATAATACATGAAAATTGTTACGTGGGATTTTCGATCTTTTTTTTTTTCCTGAGAAAAAGACCTAAATTGATTGGTCATTTTCTTTTTCTTTTTTCTTTAGCTTCCGAATTTTTATTGAGCAATGAAAACGGGTCTCTAGTTTTTGGGGCAACTTTCTTTTTGGAGGTGAAGTAGTTGAGAGAGTGAAGATCTAGGATTATGGATTATTTGAATAAGAAATTTGTGAAAAAAATAAATAAATGATGTCCATTTAATTTTGGTTTACATATGTGCAATGTTTTCCTATGTTGAAGTTCTCATGCTTATAAATGTTAAAGAAATGTAAATTTTTTATTTTTTGTGAACAATTTGTTAAGTAACGTTGGTATTTCAGCATGTTGATCTTTTTTTTTTTTTTTTTTTTTTTGGG